AGTGTCTTGTCTGAGTTTATGTGGTTAGTGATGCATAATGGACAGACGGGTCCAAGACTCACAGTTGAAGGTTCTTTGCCCCCCACCAGCCATTTCTTCCCTCAAAATGGTCTCTGGGGTTTCAGGTCAGGGCTGGTCTATCTCTAGGCAAGACTGTGAGGCAAACAGAGCCAAGTCTGTCTTTGGGTACCCCCTGACCTCTTGCTTAGGTGACCCTTTCTTCTCCTGGATTCCCCCAAATTCTTCCTCCAAACCCAAGGAACCTAGTAATCTTTTCTCAACACTTACACAAACCTCTGTGTTAAGGAGAGCATAGCGTCAGCCACTCCTATCTTACTGTGGATGAGTTAAGACACTGTGTTCTTTCTTTGTGTGGCAGGGGTGATGGCGGTGAGGATGGCGGTTAGCCAGAAAGTGTTTAGAGATCCCTTTTTTACCCTGGGGACCATCAGACATTGTTTCCAATTGTGAAGTCTGGTCCCCAGGCAGCAGGCAGGGCAAAGGGATTTTCTCTGCTGGCCCTCAAATCTCCCAGCCTGATACGAAAGGATTTTACTTACCTACTTCTCCTCCTAGGTCAGCTAACATAATCTCAATCTTTTCCTACAAGAAGGAAGACTGAGTGGGATAAAAATCAAGGACATTGTATTAACATCACACCTGGAGCAAACAAAACCCTAGCCCATTCAAGGCACTCCACTGGAGATAGAGCTTCATAGATTAGGAAAACCGCCCTTTCAGGAAGCCCTGCCTGCTTTCTCTGCCTGACCCAACCCATGAGGAGAATCTCTGCTGGGGAGGAAATTTAATCATTGTCTTCCACCCATCAGCACTGAGTTTGGATTCTGTTCCAAGCTGCATTCCTGTTCAGTGTTTGATGTTAATTAGAGTCACAAATCATTCCTATTTCCTTTCTCCACAAGAAAGCCTGCCACAGCACTGATGTCATCCAGCTAACCGATGAGCAGAAGGCACATTCCTTTCCAAAAACATGCTGATGACTGTGATGGGCAAGCACCAGCTTTGACGTATCTGTAATAAAACTTTGGAGACCTAGGAGGTCTAGGTCACAGGCCAGAATTTTGTTGTAGTGAGTTTGTTTGAGGCTAACACGAGAACAGGAGAAGTTACCCTGGTCAAGGGAGCCACATATACGGGCAGAAGAGGAATGGGATTTAGAACCAGATAGACTGCCAGTCAGGAAACTTTTGACAACTGGAACAGAGAAGAACTGTCAGTATCATGTTTGGGATATAGAATTTCTAAAATTTCTAATGGAACATATGCTTGTGTGTGTGTGTAGACGAAGATTGATATAATGTGTCTCCAATTTATTATCATCTTCAACATTACTGATTTTGTTTATTTATTATTATTTTTTTGAGCTAAGCCCTCTCACTGCACTGGAGTTCACTGATTTGGTTGGTGTGAACTTCCTCCTGTCTCTGTCTCCACAGCTAGAATTACAGGTACTCTGTGTCATGCTGGGTTTTTATGGGGGTTCTGCAGATCTGAGCTCAGGTCCTCATGCTTGCATTGCCAGCCCTTTGCTGACTGAGCCATCTCTCAGTCCCTGAAATATTTGATTTTAAAAATAGTTTTAAAGTTATGGCTTAAGGAGCAGTTGTCTCTGAAGGAACTCAGACACTCTGATTTAAAAACTTTCAATTAAAAAACTTGTGGAAAAATAAACGTGACATGAAATTTGCCATCTTTAGCAGCATTCAGTGTCAGACATTATTTTTGTGACTATCACCAGTACTCCCTCCTGAATGCTTCATCTTGCAAAAGTGAAACTCTACATGCTCTGAATCATACGCCCTACCCTCCAGAGTCCTGCTGCTCTCCAGAGCCCTTGCCAGCCCCATCCCACTTCTGCCTTTCTCTGACCACTCTAAGTACCCCACGAATAAGGAATTCTATAGCACATATTGTTTTGTGAGACTCATTTCATTTAACATACTGTTTTTAATATTGATAATTCTGGAGCCAGACTGTCCTGTGACTTCTTTTAAATACTCTTTTAGTTTCTTTCATGGTAGAAAAAAAACCGAGCAATATTCTACAAGCTATGGGACTAATAGTTCCCAAGAAGAACAATATGCAGTAGGGAGGTCTAGACAAACTAAAGGATGATTGAAAACCTACCCGTTGTTTCCACCCTGTGATAGGGAAGGGAAGAGAAACAGAGGTAGGATAGAGAAGGGCAAAATACTTGCTGAAACCCTTCACACAATGTGGTGGGGTGGAGCAAGGAAACCTCCCAACAAAGGACAGGCGGATGGTAGACTTAATGGGAAAGGATGTAAGCAGTGGCCCAGGAAAGGGTGTAACTTTGATGCAGGAAGGATGTAACAGTGATGCAGGAAGGATGTAACAGTGATACAGGAAAGGGTGTAACTTTGATGCAGGAAAGGATGTAACTTTGATGCAGGAAAGGATGTAACAGTGATGCAGGGAAGGATGTAACAGTGATGCAGGGAAGGATGTAACAGTGATACAGGAAAGGGTGTAACTTTGATACAGGAAAGGGTGTAACTTTGATGCAGGAAGGATGTAACAGTGATGCAGGAAGAATGTAACAGTGATACAGGAAAGGATGTAACAGTGATACAGGAAAGGGTGTAACTTTGATGCAGGAAAGGATGTAACAGTGATGCAGGGAAGGATGTAACAGTGATACAGGGAAGGATGTAACTTTGATGCAGGAAAGGATGTAGCAGTGATGCAGGAAAGGATGTAGCAGTGATACAGGGAAGGATGTAACAGTGATGCAGGGAAGGAGGTAACAGTGATGCAGGGAAGGATGTAACAGTGATGCAGGAAAGGAGGTAACAGTGATGCAGGAAAGGAGGTAACAGTGATGCAGGGAAGGATGTAACAGTGATGCAGGGAAGGATGTAACAGTGATGCAGGAAGGATGTAACAGTGATGCAGGGAAGGATGTAACAGTGATGCAGGAAAGGATGTAGCAGTGATGCAGGAAAGGATGTAGCAGTGATGCAGGAAAGAATGTAAGCAGTGATGTAGGAATGAAGGTAGTCATGTACAGCTAAATGTGTATGTAACAATCTCTTTGAGAAAAACAGAAGGCAGTGCCATTAACAAAAACATTTGTCAATCCATGCTGTCACCACTCCTACTAGGGCTAATTTCAAGCCGGTGATGTGAACTAGATTTGGAGAGGGAAGTGAAATCATTGTCTAGTGGTCTCTTCACATAGATGAATAATATCAAAAATACACAGTAAAATTTAATAAAAATAAATAAAATTAACTGTTGGTATTTATTACTTTATTCTAACATCCTAACATTACTTTCTTACTTTTAAATTTCAATAATGGTTGCATGAATAGTTACTCATCATCTTTAAGAGAATCTGTGGCCCTCACTGGCTCAAAACTTCCGTGAACAGAGCTCGGAAATGACAGTGTGTTATTGGAAGAGGAAAGGTCTGTGTACCTGAGCCTGAAGTGGTGTCTCTGGTCCCTCGGGTCTCAGCATCACTTGCAATGGGTTCTAACTTGGACCATCAAAGGCTTTGATTCTGGGTGGAGAGGCACCAGTTCGCAGGAAAGTCACAGCTGAGTTCAGTGTCAGACTGTGGACTTAGACAATAAGCACCATCCTGAAGTCCAGATGGCCAGATAGACCCGCTCTCTTTAGAGGTCACCTGTCCAGGGAGTTGTCTAGATAGCCAGTGTGCAGCCATGGGTATTGAAGACTCAGAACTAGGGGGAAATGCTAGTTTCCATCTGGATCCTCTATCTTCTTTCCTTGTGAGTTCATGCAAGTTCTTGGGTATGTATGTGTGATGCTACATGTATCAACCTTGAGTGTCTGCCCTCACTTCCACTCTGTCTGTGATAGGCTCTTTCGTTTTCCTACCACTGCACATAGCAGGTAGCTGGCCCTGGCCTGTTTCTGCTGCTCTTTCATAGAATAGGAATGCTGGGGTTGCAGGTGCACACTAACATGCCCAACTTTACATGGTTCAATGGGATCTGAACTTATTGGACCATCTCCTTAACCTCGTGTGTGTGTGTGTGTGTGTGTGTGTGTGTGTGTGTGTGTGTGTGTGTGAGTGATGAGGGTGGATAGAGTCTCAGATAGCTCAGGCTGGTCTTGAACTTGTAATGTAGCTCAATGCTACCTCAGACTCCTGATCTTTCTGCTTCCTTCTCACAAGTGCTGGAGTTACAGGCCTGGGTCATCATCAGGTTTAATTCTGTGGCATCAAAAAAGACAACATTGTAGGGTGGTGGCGGCACATGCCTTTAATCCCAGCACTCAGGAGATAGAGGCAGGTGGATCTTTGTGAGTTCGAGGCCAGCCTGGTCTACAAAGCAAGTTCCAGGACAGCCAGGGCTGTAACACAGAGAAATTCTGTCTACAAGAAGACAACGTTAAGCCACAATTTATGCCATGGTAACTAGTTTGGGATGGTGGCAGTCAATGTTTTCCTAATTTGTTTTTGAAATGGATAGGCAAGATGAGTTGAATGTTCCCTATTAGTCTTAGGATTCTACTGGGGGGTGGCAGCTCTGGCACTGTGGATGGGACAGTGAAGGAAGCAGTCATGAGTGGGAGCCCAGACAGAAAATGACCAGGCAAGGCTCTCCTGGAAGGTCTGCTGAAGTGGAGAATCTGTGCCCTCCTCCAGGGAGAAAAGTGAATTTGAATGTTGGACACCTTTGATTATCTGCAGGTTTACGTTTGTTAGTCGGTAAGCTGTGGCTCTGAAGACATTTTGTGCTGGGAATGAGTGCTCCACAGTGATGCGAGGCTATTTCTCTGTCTTTTCTACAAAGGATAATCGAAACCTGTAAGGCGAGAGTCACTTCCTCAGCTCCATTTTGGGATGGGAGACAGCAGCAGACTTCAGACACTGTGATGTTAGCAGCACAGGAAACCCTAGGTCCTTCCCATCTCTTCTGGTTCTCGGAAGAAAAGCTTACATTACTGTGGATAGTTAACAGCAAGACAGTTTTGTTTCTGACTTTCTTTTTTAATAACCCAAAATTTAGATGTAAAGGCACACAATAAAGCTTTATGCATTTATTAAAATATACACATTTTGGTAAATTTATAACTTTCCTTAGTATTTTGATAAATCAAAATATTTGTCAACACCACAGTCATTTGAAAATAAAACACACTTTATAGGACATCTGTATGTTATCCTTTTCTTCATGGTACATTACAAAGCCCCATTGTACAGTGCACCAATGGGAATTAAAACCACAAAACAAACACATTAACAATACAACAATTTCATATAGGAAAGGAAAGCCGAGAACACACCAGAAATGACCATCTGCAAAATGCAAGTTGTACTTTTTAAGGACCAAATGAAACTGAAACAGCTTAGTGGAATTTACAGGTTGTATTTATAACTTTGGGATATGAATTAAATGGTCATGGTACTTTCCCACAGTGAGAAGAAGCAGAATGCAGAGTCCTGTTGGCAGTCACTACGTCGTCACTACGTGGAGCGAGGACATTAGCCACCCTCTTGAAAGCCTGAAGCTCCTTTGCTCAGCCCAGATAGTTGAGGTATTTAGGTGCTTTTTATAACATTAACAGCATCTCTGCTTTGGGAAGCAGGGGCTTCTGATTCCCAGTGTAAGCTCTCAACTTCATGACTAGAAATGAGACTTGTCTATCAGCAACTGCCAAGAGCCCTCGAAGGATGTCTGTGGACCAGGATATCATCCCAACACCAGAATGGACACAGCCCTTCAGAGTCTGCACTTCTGACAATATTCACATGACCCAAGGTTTCCTTTAGCCTGTACTACCAGTGTTAAAGTCAGGAAAGCTAGACAGAAACAAAAAAGAGCACAGAGGAGGTTTTCAATATAAAAATCCAGGCCGTCCTGACCTCCCACTCCCAGCAGGATGCTATTTTTCTCCCTCATCTGAACCAACACACACTAAATATTCAGAAAGAGTACAAGAAAGAGCCATCTGTGTCAGGAGACTTCAAACCTATGATGTCTTTTTGGAAGTCTCCTTTGGGCTGTGTGAGCCATGCATTTATTAATGAGTGATTTCAATACTATTCTAGCTGCTATGCAGAATACATATGAATTTCTGGTGGACTTTAAACCTTTACTAATCTCTTTGGGCTTTAAGCCCAAAACAGGAAAAGAGAACATCCCATATTTTTTCAGAGAAATGGGAGGCGGTGGCGGGGAGGAGGCAGAAATCCTTAATAAATAAATAAATTAAAAAAAAAAAGAAGTGATAGCAACCCTCCCCCCCCAAATGTTGTATATGTGTTTGAGCATGTGCACAGGGTGTAGTGCCCAATGGCGTTGTACATCCTGGAGCTGAAGTCACAGGTAGTTATGGTCAGCAAGAACTCTTTTATTTTATTATTATTGTTATTGTTAATTTTTGGTTTTCAAGACAGGGTTTCTCTGTGTAACAGCTCTAGCTTTCCTAGAACTATCTTTTGTAGACCGGGCTGACTCCACAGAGATCTGCCTGCCTACCAAGTGTTGGGATTAAAGGCATGGGCCACTACCACCTGGCAGCAAGAACTCTTAACCAACTGAAAATGCAGTGACGGTTCTGGAGGAAATAGCCTTCTGGACCTGCTGGTGTGGACCCTCTGGGTTGGGATGCAGTCTCTAGCCTAAACAATGTCAACTGAAACTGGACTCTGATGGTGAGGCCACTGCTGATTGACTGTTGGTCTGGGGTCTCCAAAGGGCCTTTCTGCAGATAAACGGACAATCAGATAAACAGACAATCAGCGTTAAAGAAGTACCCAGGGAAAGGGCCTATGGAGGCTTCATAAAAATGGATTGGAAATACCTGTCTTATTAACAAGTCTTTTTGAAAGACGTTTGAGAATGGAGAGAAGTCCCACCACGATGGCGGGCACCTTTTCCTGGTTTTCCTCCACGTTCCACTGCTTGGGAAAGCCATCTCTAGTGCACTCCCATGTGAGGCTGGGGTCCGAGAGTGGACCACTGCCCCCAGGACTCCCAGAACCGATCCAGCTCTAGCTGCAGCTTATGCCCTGACTTTTGACTTTCTATCAGAGAACGTTCTAACATGAGCCAGAAAGGTGGACCAACCTGTGCCTGAGTCTCAGGGGTTTCCCAGGCTCCTGTAAAAGCCCCGCGGCAAACAGGACATCAATTTCCTCTAGTCTTTCAGGTGGATACTTAGATGGAAATTCTATTTATGATTCTATATATTTCGAAGAGGAATTCTCTGGTAATGTGATTTTCAACAAGCATGATCCCAAGGCTGTCAGATTTCTCAACTCTTCTCAGTTGCACAGACATTTCTCTGAATCTTGTTTTCCAACAGTGGCTGCATTTGTAGTGTTGTGGAGGCACAGGACTTGCTCTTACTAAGAGGCAGACCTGGGAGTTTTTTTTTTTTTTTTGCATAATTCCAACATTCAACTTCTTTTTTAGTTTAAACCAGCCTCGAGCTCAATTTAAGTCAAGTCAGAAGCAGGGATTTTACTATTCAGATTAGATAGATACAAACAGGAGTTAGATTTGGTCATTGAAAGGAATTGCCGCAAGCTGTAAAGTTGAAAAGTTGTGTTGCGTGTCGGCATGTTAGAAGATAACAGTTCCTACGGGAATGTAAAATCTGAGACAGGAGGAAGAGCAGTGTCTTGCTTTGAGCACGGAATTTTTTCATCTCTCTGCTAAATGTGTGTACATGACCCGTTTGCTCCTTGCCTGGACAACGATACCACTGCCCAGTTTTTCTCAAGTCCAACCTTGCCTGACTTGTCCCCCCGCAACCCTAACAAGCACTCCCCACCCACAGAACACCAGTGGGCTTGTCACTCGAGCTGTGACTGATCCCTCCCCTACTTTCCTGGCATCTTTCTTACTGTGTCATATGAATCACATGTAAATTATAGCGACAGCCACCCCAGCTCCTTGCTTTTCCTGGAGGAAGGCAAAGAACTAAACTCAGGGAGCCCTCAGCCACAGTCTGCATCTTAGCCGTCCTCTGCATGCCTCTCTTCCGTTTCTGCCTTGTTAAGGCTCTGCTGCTTCCACAGGCTGCGTGTACACCGTGTTCTTTGATCTCTCCAACGTGTGGAGGTGTTTGCCACGTTTAAGCCCAAAAGCACGTTCTTATCTCCATCCTGCCTGCCATCTTTGATACGATTCTAAATAGATTTCTTCAAAAGTTTTGTTTATGATTACTGAATGTGTATGCATAGTTTGTGTGTGTGTGTGTGTGTGTGTGTGTGTGTGTGAGTGTGTGTCCCAGAACACCCACCTGAAGGTCTGAGAACAGATATGTGGAGTCACTTCTTCCATGTTTATGCAGGTTCCAGGGATTGAACTGAAGCAATCAGGTTTGCTAGGCAAGCGCTGACCCTCTGAGCTGTCTGGCCAGTCCTCTAGATCTTATTTCTTAAGAACTGAACCTTCCACTTATCATGGCCTCAGAGTATGCCATAGCACACAGCGGGTACTCTGTGAATAACTACTGAATAGGTGGCTTATTTTCCTTTATTTCATTTATCCCCTCAAGGTCCCCACCAATAATATCGTCCTTGCTTCCTTTTTCTAGACAAGGACTTTCTGTGTAGCCCGGCTGTCCTGGAACTAGCTCTTGTCGACCAGGCTGGCCTCTAACTCAGAGATCCGCTTGCCTCTGCCTCCTGAGTGCTGGATTAAAGGCGTGCGCCACCACTGTCCAGCAGGTATTTCTTGATATCCACTAACCATTAGGTACACGTAGTTAGTGTAATCTAGCTTTGGAGCTTCTCTGTGGGTGTCAGGGGTCTGTGCTGTTTTAACACTCTGCCCTCAGGGGGAAAGGTTTATTTATTAATTATTTATTATCATGTAGCAGTCCTGGCTGTCATTACTGACAAGCCTATTGCTTTCTAAGGTGTTCTTCACTGGAAAACTCAGCAAACCCCTTGAGAGTCCTTGCGCTTGTGTGTTTCACACATTCTGGCTCTAAGTTTCCCTTTCTCCTCCCATTTTCACTGTATTCTTCCCCTTGGCTTCGGAGCCCTTGTGTTTTAATAGCTGCCTCCAATCTTAACGAAATGAGGCAGAGTGTTAATAAATAGAATACAATTTAAAAGATTAAATTATTGGCTCCAAAATTAGACATCCCACATACACTGAACCCCTATCGGAGGAGTTTTTCTAAGAGACTTATTTATAAGGTAACCCTACTTTTAATGCGGTCTCATAAACACGATGTTCACATATGATAGTATTTCAAAACCTTCTTGTGAAACCTGGGACTCTTTCACAGGAGTGGAAAAAACATGGTGAAAACATGCTACGTACCTGAGAAAACTTTCCAAGCTCTACATATATATATATTAAAACCCAAGACAGCTAAGAAGATAACCCCAACAATTTTAGACAAATGATGAGAGCAACGATTGAAAACATCGAAAGCTTCTAACTGAGAAAAATGGCATCCGAGATGAGAATAATCCATTGGCTCTGCACAGAAACAACACTACTGACATCAACAGTAAAGCCCATGCTCTTTCTTATGCTACAGAAATAGCACACACCTGCCACCAGACCATTGCTACTTTAATCCCTAAACACCACCAGTAAGACATAACTTTCCACCCATGTTAAGATTTGTCACATTGCATCCATATTTCTCCTAACCATATCTAAGGAAGAGAACATTACCCCGTTTATTGAGAAGCAGACCCAGCTTAATAGCTGTTTCTACTAGGCAGGTTTTCTGCATCCCACCCCAGTTTAGAACTTAGTTTTGACAGACATGACTCATAATTATCTTACAGGGAGTTCTCCAGGGTGTTCGTTGCAGGCCAGGCACTGCGATGTGATGGTTAAGTTTGGGCAAGAGGAAACAGCTTTTCGGACATTACATAGAAATGGTAAGAAGGAGTACTGGAAGCCGGGTTCTACATAGTTAATATGGAGTGATGAGCGAGATGTAAAAAATGTACTTATTTTAGTGCACTGGCAGACATCGGCTGAGAGCCTGGTACCCAACAGATCTAAAAGCATCATTAAAAAAATAGTTTCAGTTGATCTTTATCTGTTACGTTGGAGCTTCTTGTATCTGTCATGGGACCCTGCTGTCTCCTAGGTTCCGAGGGCTGAAGTTACAGAGATCCTCAGGACCTCTACTTAGCCGCTGGTGTATTTTAGGCAGTCAGCTCAACAGGAAGCATGCCTTCTCTCTGTAACCTAAGTACATGCCAAGAAAACATGCGCCTCGGAGCAAGCAAGAAAGAAGTGATGTTAGTTGATATTCATGAAATTTTTTGGCGGATGATGAATTGAGGAGCAGAGGGCAAGGAATTTGCTCTTTTGTCCCATTTCCAAAAAAATTCTCGCCGAAATCTTAGTGAGAGAAATTTGTTTTCCTACACACATGCTACTGAAGCCACATGTTTTTCTGTTGTAAATTCATCTATCCTGTTTCGGAGAAAATTCTTTAAGAATCCCTTTGGAGGCCTATGCTTAACCCCCACCAAAAAGTCATTTCTCTGGACCTCAAGGAAGGTGCTTTTGGAACTAAGATGAAAAACACTCTAAAAGTGAGCTAGCCTAGAGGAGGAAGGTCCAGGTGGGAATTCGAGCTCTCTGAGCTGCGTGACCCAAGTTCCTGGTCTTCCACATCTCTGGAAACCAGCAGGGTCCAATCAGGCAGTCACCTAGCCAAAGAGGAAAAACCCTGCAGATTTTATAATTTTAGAGATATGAAGTAGGATTTGCAATGTGATCTCAGTGGCTGGGTTACTGCTCCTCGCAAAGATTTTTATCTGATTATAGAACAAATAGCCCGTTTCTTCCAGGCATATCAGAGGCCTGCGATCACACTCGACCTCTGCCCTTTCCCCAGACCTACGGGAGCTTAGAGTCTGGTGTAAGGGAATGCCTGACAGACAGTTCACTTCTGCCAATGCCTTCCTGACCTCTATTCGAGAGACGGTTACTTCAGCTTTTCTTTCTTTCTTTTTCTTGAGCATTTAAGTAAAGATTTGGTGGTACTTCTTACTATACTTTGATGACTACGAGGTTGTTTTATGGGAAATATGGTCTCAGAGTCTTCTGTCTTTTCTGGATCCTAACCTTATAGTCTGGAAACTGTAAGAACTTTGGTGAGTAAAGAGAAGCCGGTCTTCTCTGTGGATAGTTTTGGGGAGGTGAGATTTAAGGACACAGTGTTGCTGACTGAGAAAGTCCCTGGGGAAGCAGCCTGACCTACGGGCCTGGGGGAGCAGCTCCTAGTTCTGCTCTGGGGGCTGTAGAGCCGCCTCACACCACTGCCACCTTTGTGGCTCCTCTCCCAAGGGCCTGCAGCCTCAGCAGGGTTGGAGGAAAGCCTGCTTGGATCTTAGCACGAAGATCCATCCTGCAAAGGAAACATTTGCTGTCCTCGGCTGGGACAGCTCGCTAACATAGAATTTCATTTGGTTTTGATTTTTTTTTTTTACATGGGGGTCAATTAAGGGCCCTGGGTAAAACCCTTCAATAGAACTTTCCTTTACAGCAAAAATAGCAAATGACAGATTGTGCCTGGGGATGGCCTTTGGGGAAGTTTGTGAAATGAGAGTCGGAAGAAGGTTCCACCTGCCAGCACACAGGCTGGATTCGCGGAGAAGCCACCCTCTCGGCGCCCGCAGTTCAGCCCTACTCCGGAGAGTAATCTAACTCATCATTTGCAATCAGGGCCTCTGAGTTCTGCTTGTGCTTGCTTTTACTTTTCGCTTTGCTACTCGTCCGGGTGTTTGTCTTCGCCTCTGACATCTGTTGGTAATAGAAGCCTTTGTCCTCGGCTGGCCCGCCCCAGTCCTCCTGGCTCTCGCCCTCAGTGGCATAGGAGAATCCCTCCTCCACGGAAAAGGGGTCATCCACATCGTAGCGTTGATACATGCTTTGGTGCAGGGCCTGCTCTCTGGCGCTGATTTCCAGGGTGCTGTTCCAGATGCCGTACCCAAAATAAATGAGCAGACCTGTGGGAGGAGAAAGCACACACGATTAAGCAGTTGCTCTAGGACCCCTGGGGCAACTGGGGAGATGGACAGGGCTGGGGTGGTGTACATTTTGAAAAGACTTCAATTAAATGTCCTTTGAAATTTGGAAGTTGAGAGAGAGAGAGAGAGAGAGAGAGAGGTCGGTCAGTGAAGGGTTTAATGTGCAAGCTCAAGTACCTGAGTTCCAGCCCAGAATCCACATAAAAACCCCCTTTGCAGTGGCCCTAGATAATAATCAAAGTCTCAAAGTCCTAGCGAGATGGAATCAAGCAAATTCCTAGTCCTCCCTGGCCAGCCACCTTAGCTAAATGGGTGAATCCCTGGTCCCAGTGAAAGACACTGTCTCAAATCTAAGCAACGCAACTCCTGAGGAAAGACACTGAGGTTGACTTCTGACTTCCACCAACAAACACAGCCCCCATGTCCCCCTCACACCCACAGATCACAGAACAGCCCCCATGTCCCCCTCACACCCACAGATCACAGAACAGCCCCATGTCCCCCCCACACCCATAGAACCATAGAACAACCCCCATCACAACCCCCTCACACCTACAGAACCACAGAGCAACCCCCATGTTCCCCTCGAACCCACAGAACTGGCAGACCACAAGGTGTGGTGGGGAATGTCTCTAGTCCTAGCACTGGGGAGTCTAAGGGATGGGAGTTCAAGCCAGAATGGTAAAACCCTGTGTCAGAAAACGAAAACAACAACAAAACCAGAATAAGCTTAGGAGAACTTGGATAAAGCAGACGACACTTACAGCTTCCTCTAAGGTTCCGACCACAGAGCCCTCGTGCTCCTAGGGGTCAAGTTTTAGATGAGCCTGAGAGTTAGCGGCCTCTTTAGTTAGTGCCTGGCCCTTCAGTCACCTCCACCCTCGTCTTCCCAGGACCCTGCATCATTTTTCTCAGTCTACTGCCAGTTGTTTGCATCTCCTGTCCCGGTTAGTATTTACTGATTGGTGATGCAGTCACGTGGTGGTTTGAATAAGAATATTTCCCCGCAGGCTCATAAATTGGAATGCTTAGTGAGTCAGGGAGTGACACTATTTGAAAACATTAGGAGGTGTGGCCTTGTTGGAGGAAGTATGCCACTTGGGGGTGGGCTTTGAGGTTTCCAAAGTGTAAGCCAAGCTCAGAGACTTCATGCTGCCTTTGAGTCAAGATTGCTATTATTCACTGATTGGTGGGCTGAGTCAATGGATTGGCTGGTCAGGGATTTGGAAAGAGCATGATTGAAAAATTGCTGAGAACAACATCCGGGGAAGAAGTGTGCGGCTAGATCTCTGTAAAAATCAGAGGATGTGAAGACTCTTGTGTCCCGTGTAGATGCTTGTCAAAGGTGACTTCTGCAGAGGAGGAGTTCAGTAGCCATAGATAGGATGTCTCCTGTGGACAGTCAGTCTCCTTCCCCAGCCGTCCCTGTCATTGCCCAGTGGCCTCATGGACAAGGTGGCCATGGCGGCAGAGATGGGGAATGTCCAGTCCACGGCTGACCAGGCTACCGTTGCTGCTGACTGCCAGATCTGCCAACAGCAGAGACCAGCACTGAGCCCCAAGTGTGACACTATCCCCCGGCGTGGCCAGCCCCGGGGTGATCTGGTGGCAGGTTGACTACATTGGACCACTTCTTCCATGGACAGGACATTGCTCTGTCCTTATTGCAGTAGACACCTATTCTGGCTATGGATTTGCTTTCCTGTATGTAATGCTTCTGCCAAATCCACCGCAAGCCCCAAGCTTTCCAGAACGTTTTATTCCCCCTGGCCTCCATGTCAGGCTCCAGCATTTGTTGGTCCTCTAACAACACATATTATTCCAATTTCTCTTGCTGTCTCACACTCACCAATGGAATGATCTGTTCCTGACCCCTAAGCTGCTTCTTTCTCCAGTGTGAACTCCCAGAATACCTAGTGGTGCATGCCACTGTTACAGCTCTTACGGCATCTGTCGTGAGACTATCTGCACTGGGTGGTTCTAGTTTATAGTTTTGGCCCAAACCTGGCCCTTAATGTTTGTTGAATGAATGAGCCAGTGCTCCCGATGAGCACACGTCAAGTGTACCATCTCTGCCTTGACTTCATTCCAAGCAAAGGAAACTTACCTCCCTGGCAAAACACAGTATTGACTTGACTAAGGCTTCTTTTCTGCATTTTTGAATACTATGTTAGTCTCGTTTTTCAACTTGAAAAGCCCTTGAAGTTCAGGGTCTGGAAAGGCAGGAATTATAGTGACACCAGCCACAGTACTGGTCTAAGAATGTGGAATCTGGGTTACAATCCAGTCCCTATCGCTCTCGCAGAGGTAGCCTTGGACCTACGATTTACCCTCACAGCCTCCTAGTCTGTAAACTGTGAGAAGCAGGGCTTGCTACACAAGCGTGAAGACCCAACTTTGCATCTCAGCTCCCATATTCAAAAAAAAAAAAAGCCTGATGTGGCCATGCATGTGCCTGTACCCCTGCAGAGCTGGGGAGGGGAAAGGGACAGAGGTGGGAGGATTGCTCATGCTTTCTGCTTACAAGCCTAGCTTGTAGTTCAACCAGAGACCCTAGATCAGGACACTAGGTGCCATTGTCTGGACCCTGAGTGCTCTTGCAGAGGTGTGAACACTCAAACACACATGTGTGCATACATCACATACACATTCAGTACACTTCACACACACACACACACACACACACACACACAAAAAAAAAAAAAAAAAAAAGAAACCAAGCTCTGTCCCTGAGAGTCAGAGTGAATTACTGGGCAACTTGGGGGTAAACTGAGGCGGTGGCTTGGCCCTTGAGGTCCAACACCCCTTGTCAGTGGCGTCAGTTACCCACTAACCCTGGGCCGTCTGCTCAGCTGTTTGCTCGGAAGACAAGCCTGGCCAGTTCTCCCACTCTGGGCTATGAGAACTTTCCCCTCTTGAATCTGAAGTGTGTCTCTTTAAGCTTGGATTTCTCTCTCTTTGTCTCAAACAACTTCCTCTCTGCCCCTTCCAGTCCCCTTCCTCCCAAGGGAAATCAACCTTGCATGGGCCAAAGGAAGCAGAGATTTACACTTCTAATCGGTAATTAACCCCGGAGCCAATCATTTGCAGATGCAGCTATTTGGACTCAAATAGCGGCCTGATCTTTTCGAGGGGCGGGTGTGGGACAAGGGAAACTTTACTCTTTATTGTTGGAGAGGTGGTGGAGGTGGTTATGCAGGACACCTATGATTTTTGTGTGGAACCTGACCCCCGTTCAAACTTGTAAAAAGGCCACCGTATGCGTACTTAGAGAATGCCCCTGAAGCTCGCGAGGGATGGGAGTGGTTGTAAGTGACCAGGCGGATCAGCAGCACACCTCCTTTGTTGAATTTTTCATCATTGTTCTTTTCTCCCAGACACCCAGGCAGGTACCAAACATTGCCTCTTGGTCCTAGTACATCAGCCGGTTTTTTTTTTAAGATTCTCTCTCTGACCCTCTCTACAGATGGCTCATTTTCTATAGAACTGGACATTTTGCTGCTTCCCTTACTATCACTTCTCTGCCTCTATACAGGCCAAAAGGACTCGTTACTGGGTGACATTTGTTCTAGGCTACCCTCCTTCCTCCCAGAGCAGATACGTGAGTGTCAGGTAGATTCCTGTTACAGGACTTGATGGAACTGCTCTAGCATCGCAGATAATCAAGCCAGAGAAAGCTACAGATTACCAACACATCTAACGACTTCATTTACAGGAAGAGCTGATGCTGGGAGCATCAGATGTCAGGCTTGGGTCTGAAGGGGTGGAGCCAAGCCTTCTATGTAAAGAAAGTCCTTCAGTCTTTCTTACTTCTCCCCCCCAGGCTGACTCATGGAGACAGTTATCGCGGTAAATATTCAGTAAGAGTCGGGTCTACGGGTGTTCCTTGGGAGTGCCAGGCCTGGAAGGATTATGTGTGTGCCGGTCCTTTGTAATACACACCTGCCACAGATATGTTAATGGGTTTTTTCACGTTTCTGTGGCTCCTACAGTGTCAAAGTCTTGTTATTCTTCTCCCATATACATTTCCAATATGAGTGTTGTGACTGGCAACGAATCCAGGCAGCCTGCTTGGACAGAACCATTCTCTAGTATCTTACATTCTGTCTGCTTTTTTCCCCTGGCCCTGCAGTCAGTTCAGGAAGAGGGATGTGAAGCAAGGAAGGTGGGAGAAGAGGAAAAGTGGAGAACAAAACAACAGAGAGAACAAGCAAAGAGGGTGAGGGAGGGAGGGAGAGAGGAGAAGCGTGAACCATCTGTCACAGAAACAAGGGCTTTGTGTGGAGGAGTAAACAGCTCAGCTGAAGGCCTGCTATGTGGAAGCAGGGCTTTGTGCTTCTGCTTCTTTTCAGCTTAGAGAACCATGCAGCAGGCAGTTTCTGCAACCTCAGGGGTTCTGGGAATCCTGAGTCATCTCAGCTCCTCTTTCCAGGGCGCTGTGTGCCCAGGTCCTCTTACCATGGTCAGTGAGATTGCCCATCTCTGCCCCGGAACTCAAAGTGCGGTATAGGTTCTTGTGTGTGCATGCGTGCGTGCGAGAGAGACAGACAGAGACACAGAGAGATAGAGAGACACACACATACACACAGATAGATAGAGATGAACATAGAGAATCTGAGCATCTCTTGGACAGGGAACTGGAGCACAGAGAAATTAGGCACTAGAAACTAGGAGCTGGAGTTAAGTATTTTCGTGCCTCTTTAACAAGCTTCATAGTGCAGGACTAACAGGTTGCAGGTGTACCTTTAAATTCAGAGTTCCCAATTCCCTTTAATTGTCTTCTAAAATGTTCATGTTCCAGTTGTCTTACCTGCAAATTCCTAAAAACGTTCTGCTGCTTTATCAAGAAATCTGGTCTGGTAAAAACCAGCAGTCTCCAGAGCATATTTTAATCCCACCCATTTTAAGCATATTTTATAGGTCACTCCTGCTGCCTGGGCCAAGACCAACTCACAAAGTGCTCTCCAGACAATGCCAAC